TATTTTACGATTTTATTTTCGTCAGTTCTTGTTTTCTGGATTTTCTGTCATTTTGTCGGAATTTTCATAAATCGTTGACTCATCCAAAAATTATAAAATCAAGTGATCTTGAAACTAGGTCGAGTCTAGGTTTTTACAAGATTATTTCTAGAATTTTTGAACTTGATTGAACTTGAACTTGGATTTCTCTTCCCCTGCCATTGAAACAACACAAACCCAGTCACTAGTTCAAAGCAAAAAACATGAAAATTATGCCAAACATGAAAAAACATGAAAAACATGCAAACAACACAAACTAGAGTTCAAAAATTCCAGAAATAATTTTGTACAAAATTAGACTCGTTCTAGTTTCAGAATCAGTTGATCTTATAATTTTACAATAAGGCAGTTATTTATGAAAATTCCGACAAGTTGACAGAAAATCCAGAAAAAAAAAACTGACGAAAATTAAAAACAAAAAATGAAATAGAAGATGGATGAAGATGAAATGAAATGATGAAAAAGATGATATAGATGATAGAGAACTCAACTTTTTAGAATGTGCTCTGATACCACATAATACGATCCTCCTAGAAACCGACACTCTTGAAGTTGAGAGAAGGATAAGCTTTGCACCTAAGGGATCGGGGGATCACTTAAACCAAAAGATGTGGAGCAAAAGGTCACACAAAGGTTGCGGAATTCCTTTGATTTACCCAACTTGGACTTCACTAAGGATATTACACACCAAATAAAAGAACAAGAGAGAGTGATCTAACTTTAGAAAGAGTTTTTGATAAAAAGATTAGATGCGTTACAAATGAGAGGTAGAGGGGGATAAAGGAGAAGAAGAGAGAGAAGAAGAACATGCACAAGTGTCTTGGAAATTACACTCATGGAAGTTCATACACCAAGTCTTGGAAATAACAAAACATTAAATGCAAGAATGAAGAGAAAAGATAGAAAATGGGCCAAGAAAACACGATGGGCCTTATACCCACGAATTGGGTTTGGTAAAAGGTCTTGAAAGTGTTACTTAGGCCTCATTAAAAACCTTGTCAAGAAACCCCATTGGGACCAAACTTGACAAGGGAAAAAGAGTGCATAAGCAACACTTAATCCTTTACCGAACCCCTTGCGTCATGATCTTGTTGAGGGAATCTTGGACAACGACTTTTTCCTTCTTGTGTAGCTCCTTAAGAAGGCCATTGTTTACTTGATTGAGATCCTTGAGCCTTGATTGTGTTAGAGGATTTTCCAGGATGTCTAGTGCTTCCTCCGCTTTGAGCTGCTCCTCGGCGACGTGCTGCTCCTCGTCTTCGTGTTTTTCCTCGTCGTCTTCGTGCTGCTCCTTGTCAACGGCTTCCTCCATTACGTGCTCCGAGACTTGTTCGACCATAGTCATATCACCAAAATACTCATTGCTTATTTTAGAATGATCTTCGAAGTTGGAGAACAAGGACGGATTCACTTGACGAAGGAAAGATTCTCGGCCAAGCGGAGTAGCAAGTTGAAGCCAAGGATTGATGGACCAATCACCATCACAAAACGGATCAATGAGAATTCCTATCAAATTGATGTCCAAGGTAAGTATAATCTAAGTTCAAGCTTCAAAATTTCTAATATATCTCCTTTTCTTGCACATGAAACGGATTTGAGGACAAATCCTTTTCAAGACGGAGGGCATGATATGACTATTGCCAAACAAAACCTGGAGCTCGTAACCGAGGAACAATTCGTAGAAGAGGAGCACCTCGTAGCCAAGGAGCAGCTCGTAACCAAGGTGCATCTGATACCCGAGGAGGAGCTTGTAGTTGAGAAAGTGCTTGTAAAGAAGTTAATCAAACCACCATGGTTTTAGTTCAAATCTCCTCAATGATCATCACGCCTCAAGGGGTTCGGTAAAGGGATAAGTGTTGCTTATGTACTCTTTTTCCCTTGTCAAGTTTTGTCCCATTGGGTTTTCTTGACAAGGTTTTTAATGAGACCTAAGTAACACTTTCAAGGCTATTTACCAAACCCAATTCGTGGGTCCAAGGCCCAACACTTTTTGCAAGGGTTATGAAAGCTAGATATTTTAAGGATGAAATAATTTTTGAGGCCAAAGCAAGGGTCAATCAATCTTATGGTTGGTCTTTTATTTTAGAAGGGCTTAAAATTTTAAAAGTAGGGACTCATTATATAATTGGAGATGGAGGAACAACTAGAGTTAATATTGATAATGTCACACCAACCCATCCTCCTAAACCTATTCAATGTGTAGATAGCATTAATTTTGAGTTTAAGGAACTCATCTCTTATGTGGGAAATCATTGGTTATGGGATACTTCCAAAGTTTCTGAAAAGGTAATATAATCGATCATAGTCATCTTCATAACATTCATTTATCTAAAGTTAATTTACCCGATAAGCTTATTTGGCATTACAATAATACGGGTGAATATTCTGTTCGATCTGGGTATTGGCTTTCTACTCATGACCCGGAAAATATTATGGATAATCCTCTGATTCCTCATGGATCTATTCGTCTTAAAAATCATATTTGGAAGCTGAACATTTTCCCGAAAATAAAACACTTTTTTATAGAGAATTTTAACAAAAGCTCTACCCACCATTACTCGTTTAATCACTCGTGGGATGAATATTGACCCTATTTATCCAAGATATTTTCAAGCGGATGAACCAATAGATCATATTCTTTTCTCCTGCCCTCATGCCAAATCGGTTTTGGATTTTTCTAATATTCCTATACATATTTTACATTCATCCCCCTTTTGCAGTGATAATGTTATTGAAGGTTTTATATCCTTACTATCTGATGTTAATTTACATCATGAAACAAAATTACTACATTTTTGGTTAGTGTGGCATCTATGTAAATCCAGAAATAACTTTATATTTAATGGAGTTCAAGAAAGACCTCTCAATATTGTTTATCATGTTAGGGGAGATTTTCAAAATTGGATTAAAAATAACTATCCTCCCTTGCCTCAACATACAAATTCAACCATGAATAACAAAGCGAATTGGTCACGTCCAACAAATGGTGTTCTTAAATGTAATTACGATGCTGCTTTTAATCACACTACAAATCAAATTAGAGGAGGATGGATCATAAGAAAGCATCCAGGTGGTTATTTTAGTTGGGGTTCTGCGGTATTGGAACATGCTACATCTCCATTGGAAGCAGAAGCGAAGGCGTTGATTTTAGCTATGCAACAATGTTGGATTAAAGGAATCAAAGTGATTTGTTTTGAAGGAGATAGTGAAGTTCTGAATAAGATCATCAATAAACAATATATTGTTGTTTCTATTGAAGGCATTTTACATGATATATATTTTTGGACTTCAAAATTTCAATCAACTACTTTTAATTTTACTAGAAGAAATGGTAATGGTGCTCCTCACCTTTTAGCGAAATATGGTTGTAATACTTTACCTTTTTACTCTGATTGTTTTAATCCACCAATTTGGCTATCACAACAATTTTATCATGATTACATTAATTCATCTATATAAATTTTGACGAAAAACAAATTACAAAATATTTTCAAAAATATTATTATCTTATCGAAATGTGTCTAGAAATTTATTAATTTATAGATGTTTTATTGTAATTATTAATCTATGATTTAAGTTCAAGAAAGGTTCTTAATAAACCATGACAATTATTTACCTACAATTTTGAATTACCTAAGATTTCTCTAAACTTAGCGATTTTCTCTTGCTGAACTTTACATTACATTTGTTTAATTGTTTTGTTGCTTTTAATTATAATCGTTCTAGTTTAGCTTAATTTGACACCTAATTAATCTATTGTGTAAACATTGAGTCCTTGAGGAATTCGACCCCTAAGACCATCTCCAATGCATACATCTATTTTTTCTCTAAAATAAAACATTGTGTTACTCCAATGTATTACTCTATTTCTTGCTCTAAAATAGAGGTAGTGTAAAAAAGTAGAGTAGACAATAGAGTTACTCTAAATATAAAGTAACTCTATATTTTACTATATTTTAGAGCAAGATATAGAGTAGGGTTGGAGCAAATGTTACTCTAAAATAGAGTGGGATTGGAGATGTCCTAAGTACTATAGTGATCTCTTAACTTGAGAGAGTATTTCAGGATAAATTTGAGCATAGCAGCAAACAGAGGCCGCTGAGAAAAGGGTGAAAAACGACTTTAGAACAGGAGGAGAGAGAAGAGAAAATTTCTGGAACAATTGTCTTCATGAACGTAACATTAGTTTCTATTAGTTTAACTAGTCCGCGGTTTTGATTAATTAAGGTTATTTGGTTCGGGACATTTGATTTTTCCGATCTGTCTGGACTGGCCTTTGAGAATCTGTTTGGATATCCCCTGCCAAATTGCACCAAATAATTAACCAAACTTAATTTGAAAATTATCCAATCGGTTTACATGTTATAACTTCAGTAAAATCAGTTCATGTAGTTTTCCGAGAATTATTTGGAACGACGATCTATTTCTCCCCAGGAACTTTCGTATACGACCAGTTCCACCCAAACTTTTAGCCTCTCTCTATGTTTCCCTCGAAAAATAGTTCCACAATTATTTCTCCCGAGATATAAAGTTCGACAATTATATATCCACATAATCAAAGTTTGAAACTGATTTACACATCGAACTAGGTTATTGTTGGTTTATTGTAGACCAGTCTCGTTTTTAACCAACAAAAAAACATTTATACGAAATGAATCTATTGTGTGAACAAAAGAAATGTATGTTATATTGATAAATAAATACTATTAAAAGGGAAGCATTTATAAGAAACAAATTTTTTGGTTTGCTATTATTACATGAAATGTCACTTGAAACAATCTTGGAAAGAACAAAAATGAAGAAATGGAATTTTGGTAAATTTTTGAAAGATTTAGCAACATCAATCGAAAGCATAGTTGCAGGCCCCTTTCAATTGTCAAGATCTTTACGTTGGCACTTTTTTCAACTCTTCACATTTGGTCATATCTCATTTTAAAGATTGGCTGATACATACTTATAGATAAAAATGCATGCATCCTATTACTAGAGTTTTGTCACAGCAAATAATATGTTCTTTTAACCAAGACATAAAATATAATTATTAATATCCATCTCCGAGCAGTACACACAAAATGTGGACTCATAGAAAACTCATACATTTGTCTTCTCTTCGAATTCCATTGTTCTTTCTTACATCTGAACCAGTCTCTTTTTCAACGATCGAGACGCTTTTGTTGTTAAATTTTCTTCTAAAGAACCTTCACTTCGACTCTCCACATCTAACCCATCGAACTGATCTCTAACCCAGTAACAATGAACCACACAAGCCAGAACCATAACCATCATCTATAACAAAATCATCACCATAAAGACCGCACAGTCCATCCTAACAAAAGATTTAGCCTCTCTAGGGTTCCAAGGCAATATCAACAAGGAGATACTTTGTTTCTCTTTGCTAAACATCACTAAAACTGCCATCAATTGACCCGTCAAAGAAGAAACATGAAGCATGACTGGCCCGATGAAACATGATCGAGATTGGTGAAAAGAGGCACCTGCAAAGGAAGAGATAAGATAACGGAGAGAGACCGTGTGGAAGGTTAAACCAAGTGAAGTTGGAGGATTTATAAGAAAATGTGAAATTTATACACGATACAAGAATGTTTTGAAACAAACATAACTTTTTGTGAAAAGAAGACATTTATTCGTATTTTGTGGAGTTTGAGAAATTAAGTTATTTACAAGAAAAAAAAAAGGAAAGAAGAAGTTTATTTTCAAGTTTAAATCGAGAAAGAAGTAACTAATGGAGAGAAGTTGTAACGGCTATGATGAGTTTCAACGGTTCTGTTGACCTTTATCTCATAAAAATGATTGTCTAATATATTTCAAATATTAAGAATATTTCATAATTATTGTTTTTATAAATGTCTAAAAATAAAATGTTACCCGAATATAAATTTGGAAAGACAATTCTAGCATACATATTTCAAGCTTTATATAAACTAATCATCCTTAGATGTTTTAAGAAAAAAACTTCTTATCCTTTTGTAGAATTTATATATCTTTTACGTTAATTGTAGACTTCAGCTTCTAAATTTTGTTTTAATTAATTTGAAAATAACTAGATACAATTGAAGAATAAAAAAAACAAATTCAAGAGATTACAATTCACAGATTCAACATAATGAAGAAGAAGAGCTTCATGACTCTCTTAAGCTGATTCCTCAACAAAAAATCTCTCTCCACGTCATCCTCTTTTTCATTTACTTCTTAAGAACCGTAAGACCGCATTCATGACTTAAAACATATTATCTGACATTCAATGACCATAATGATTTGTCCAACTTGAACCCAACGACCTTTGTGCTTCCCCAAGAAGCAAAGCAAAACTGCATGCATGAGTTTGAATAAACGTTTCAAATTGTGTCATTAAGACATTCATTTCCATCAAAGTGTATTGACTAATGGTGTCATCAGTGGCGGATCCAAAAATAATTTTGCATGGGGCACCGTATAATTAATAATTAATAATTTTTATAGCTTGTATAATAAGAAATATTAAATAAAAATAATTAATTACTTTTAGTTTATTTAATGAATGAAATCCAAAAAGATAACAATTTATTTTGCTTTGTAAATATATATAGTTATATACATTATATATTTAAAATTTATCAATTACAAAATGCTTAGTTACAAATCAACAAACATGTAATTTATATATAAAAGGTATGATTTGAAATACATTTCTTGAATATCACACAAATTTAAACTTTATATAAAATGAAATAGAAAGGAGATAATAAATGTTTACTAATTTACTAAGTTTACTAAAATATTGTAAATACAAATGTAATCTTTATAGTTGAAAATGATTATTTAAAAATGATCAAAAGTTAAAATGAAATTACAAAGATGAAAACAGAATTGAATGGACATAAATTATTTTTAAAATAATAAATGCAACAAGTGAAATGGCCATGAGACGTGTCTAACAAAACAAAAAGGAAAATATAAAAAGAATAAATTAAGGAAAAGAAAGATTGTTTGCCCCCAGAAAAAAAAAAGGTAAACATGGGAATCGAACAGCACAACTGATTCAACATGGGGCACTTCATAACCAGAAGAGCTAAGGGATTAAAATTGGTAACATTAACTTCAAAGAAATTTAAAGTAGTGTGGGGCACGTGCCCCACCATATGACACTGTAGATCCGCCCCTGGGTGTCATTAAGACAAACACTTCCATCAAAGTGCATCCACTAAGGAGAAACCTCCCAAGTCCCATGTACTTATTTCTATTATAAGCGCATGATATATACTCTTCTTTGCAGATTACTGACATACACAATTTTTTTCTTTTTGTTTAATGCATTACGTACGTACGTATTGTATTGAGTTGTGACATTAAGCATATCCACTGACACTAGAAAGAGTATAGAGGCCATAGGATCAAAGGAGATAGAGACCATGCAGATCATCGCTCACCAAGAGATTTTTCCTATCTCTTTTCTTATTGGCTTAAACATCATGAGTGAGAACATGAGTGAGCCAACCTTAAGTAGGACTTGGCACTGGTCCCCAACAGAAGGTCACAACTTTGATGAAGCGATTAAGAAGACATCCGACTTCATAAAACAGGAGATTGCACGGATGAATATCTATCCTGAAACCGGTATGAACCCTTCCTTGCTGTGTCCAAATGAGGCGCAAGAAGGGTATTATCATTGGGGTGAGTAGGTAGTTTAGTACATTTTTAGAAAGTAATTGGAAAAGTAGTACATATGTACTATTTATAATTGGGGAAATAGGTGTGTATCACTGTTTGTGAGATAGAGAATAGTAGAGATAGGAAATGATGTAGGGTAAAAGAGTTTTTGGAAAAAGACAAAAATAGGCTTGCATCAATCGTTTGAGAGATTGAGAATGGGGGTGTGTGTGTGTGTCATTGTGTGTGGAGAAAGTTTTTTTTTAAATAATTATTTTTCTTTTTATTACACCCTCTCATTCTAATAATTAAAATAGTCGTCAGTATAATTCTTTTTTCTGATATTTTTCACATACAAAAAAATCTATATTTTTTTCTCTATAATTTGATATGAATTTTGTTAAATAATTTTAAACTTTGTATAATATTCTATATATACACAGTTGTATTTGTACATATATTCTTGTGTACAGCTGTTATACATACATTTTTCTGTACATATAGTTATATGTACAATCTGATTTATGTATGTACAATTGTATTTGTATATATATCCTATTGTAGAAATATGAATACAGTTGTTTATTATTTGTACACTTAGTAGGTTGTACGGATTACTGTACACTTAGTAGGTTGTACGGATTACTGTACACTTAGTAGGTTGTACGGATTACTGTACACTTAGTAGGTTGTACGGATTTACTTCTGTACATTACATTTGTAAATTTTGTAAGTTGTATAATAGTCTAAATATATATAATTATATATGTACATACATTCTTATGTACAATTGTTATACATAATTATATATATATAGTATATGTACAATTTAAGCTATATATGTACAGTTGTTTATGTTTAATAGTTTCAAATACATTACATGCATATTTTATGCGTACAATTTACTACAGTGATGTTTATGGCTCGACGTTTTAGTTTGATACAACTGTACACAAAAATGTATGTACATTTATAAATCATTTTACATAAAGATTTTTGTACAAATATAGATCACTGTATAGAAGAAATCTATACAGTAATATGTACAATATATACAAAAATACAACTCTAAAATAACACTCTTCGTGAAACGGAGAAAATATACATTTCATTTTCTATCTGTACAGTGGTTTGAATGCACATATTAACACAATTTGAACATATATCGTAATGCACATATATCCCAACTTTATAAATATCTTAATAGATATATCAAAACTTCTAATTAACAAGTTCACATTTATATTATAGCTGTACAATTGTCCGAATGTACAAATGTTGTCAATCTGTACATATATCCTATTGTACAAATATTCTACTTTTTCAATTATCCTAATGTACAAATATTCTACTTTTTCAAATATCCTAATGTATGATTATAAAAATGTGTAAACTACTATATATCTGTACACATATTGAGCTGTACAAATAAAAATATATTTGTACATTGAATGAGTTGTACGGATAAAAATATACGAAATGTATTTGAGATTATCAAACAAAAACATTAAACAAAATGCATCTCAAATAATAGAGAAAAAACATATATTCTTATTTATGGGAAAAAATTGATGAAACAAATTTTACATTAGTTAAGAATTTTGTTATTAGATCCATGGGAGTGTAAAAGAGATAAAAAGAATTAAAAAAACAGAAAAGAGATAATGGCATCAATTAGTAAATATGTATGTTAGAGAGTGGCATGATTGGGTTAATTAGAAGTTGCTACAGTGTCGTGTGTGTGTTTCTATAATTGTAAAAAGTAAATGTACTGGTTTCCCAATTACTTTTCAAAAATGTACTATAAATCCAATTATTCCTTATCATTGGGCTGGTCAAGGTTGTGTCCACTGAATTGTATTGCATAGGTGCTGAACACCTCACAGCCGAATAGATGGACACCGCAAAGCTTGTGGTGGGGAATGACGGGAAGGCCATTATGATCAAGGACGACGTGAATTCAAAGTGGAAGGAAGAACTGTCCAAACCTCTGAACCTTTCTGAAACTAAAAAGAAGGTGATCCCAAAGCTGCATCTCCTTGCTAAAGGAATGATTCCCCTCGAGGGGTACTCTCTGATCACGACTTTTAACCACTACAATATCCAGTCCGAGGAGGTCTTCACCGCAGTGGAAAATCAAGTATGGGTTGGTTGTGATCAATTCTCCTGGTGGTAGAAGGAGGACCTGATTGCCCTAAGGGATGCTATGTGGTACAACGCTGGACATCCAGTGAATGTATCATTTAAGAAGGAGTCTGCTTGTAGCAACACTGTTAAGCATCTTTTGGTCGAGGCAGGCCTTGGGAGTGTTGCAGCAAAACTCCCATACATTGAGCCAGAAGTTAGGAAGGCCAAAAGCTACATAACCGTTTTGGAAACTGTGTCTCCAATCATTAAAAGGGGTTGAGGAGGTTGCATTTGGGAGACTCTTTCTGATATGATAGCATATCTGGAGAATTTCCCAGTTGGGAGGCCAATAGAGGTAGTTACTGTCAACAATCCGCCTATTCATCTTAGGAGCTTAGATAGTAGGGAGAATGTGTTGAACAGTATCAAACACTGGTGTACGCGAAACGCAGGCAATGTAGCTTTTTGTTTTGGGTTCTACATGGCCATGGTGGAGAACGGTGACCAGTTTGAAGGTGCGAGAAATCTAGAGACATCCTACTCCCTCAAGGCACTCAAGGAGACCTACATTGGCTCCTACTGCGTAGAGACATAGCTTTTTCTTGATTACTGCGCCTACAAGGCGAAGCGGAGTCAAGTCGTAAGAGACTGAGCATAGTCATCCTGGTTTGTCTTTGATTGCACTAGTTCATTTCTTTCATATTATTTTGTGCTCTTAAGCTTTGCTTTTGTTCAATGAAAAAGCAAACAATGTTTGCTTAGTTTCAATGCTTTTTTTTGATTCAAGACTTCCCAAGTTATTATTGTTTTCAATATGTTTCCTTTGTGTATGAGATGTTCGAGTTTTATTTTGGATTGACGCAAAAGGGACAAATTCTTTTAGTATATCTAATATTCATGACTTTTTTTTTACTGGTGTTAGTTTTGAGTGTAGACAGTAATCATCTTTGAATGATGTTTACCTTTGTATCAGCCTTCTTGTTCTTCCTTTTTAGCTAGTTTAGCCTGAATCGTCTAGTTGGTGAGAAGAGAAACGATGATTGTATTGGCTGAGGCTCGTCAAGATTTTGTTGATGTGTTCTTCAGTCTCTTACGTATTATTAGATTTCTAAAGAAGCACCACAAAAGTTACCTAAGGTTTTCTAAGTTGCGATAATAATCTTAGCACAAGTCTTGCAGACAGGCAGATAAGCATTGATGGTTTTGTGACATGGATTTTGTAGAGTATGTTGCTGCATCCGGTTATTAAGAAATGTCATGTCTTGTTGGTTTAAAGCTAACTACAAATGAGCAGTTTTGAGCCATACGAGAGGTCACAAATTGAGTTAAGAGTTTTCTTCAGTTGCAAAATCAAACCAATTATACAGAGAAATAGGCCCAAGCTGTTATGGCCAATAAAGAGCTACGACTAGCCAAATAAAGAGGGTAGCGAGAGTTGTCACTACAGGCTATTCACTACAATAGATTTAGGCTCGTGCTCTTTTGTTGCTGCATGAAGGGCACTTGTATTGTTTGATATGCTCAGCTCTAGCTGGAGTGATCTTCACACATTTGCCATGGAACCACTTCTCACAAAGGTCACAACAGATCCAGAATTCATCAGCTCCATCACTGTCTCCACAGGCTCCACAAAGGGTTTCACCGTGGTCATCCTCATCCTCTTCATCTACTCCTTCATCCTCATCTTTTGCCTGCATGCTCTTTGAGCTTTTGCCATCTGAAGTTCTCTGCATTCCCAAAACAAAGCAAAGGAAATATAAACTATATGAGCAAATACAAAGAAGGTACTTAAAAACCAAACCAACCAAAGTAGTGTTTTCGATGAACCTTATAAACTAGTCTGGATGGTATTCAAGATTATAAACTAGTCAAAATTTCAGCTTGTACAGGACTAAGCACTGAACCAGTTACAACAAGTAAAGCATATATATTATTTGTTTGTTGCAGGGATATCTAGTTTAGCAATATTAGTTTCTGAAAACAGCAAAAGAAAAAAAAGAGTTAAGAAGGATAGTAAGGGCCTTACAACTTTAGAGTTCGACTTGGATTTGCTGCCATTCTGATTTGCAGCAGATGACTTGTCCTTTGATTGCCTTTTAGCCATTCCAGTCACTACCTCAAATATAGTAGGAACATCATTGATCATGTTGAACAAGCGCTTCCTGAAATTAAACAAGTTAGTGTATACTCTATCCACATAGAGAAGGAGACCGAAAGAAAAACGATGAATGTCATCCATTACCTATCTTCCTTGTGGAAAGAAAACCTCGAGCCGAAGTAAAAGGAAACAGAAAGTAACCAAGCGTCACTGTGAATGGCAACAAGAGAAAGCCATTCTTTTTCAGAGAGCCCATCTCTTGCAAAGTTAATACCAAGAGCTGGCTCTGGAAGCTCAGGAGGCACTTCTTCAGCTGGTAAATTCACTTCCCATTCTTCATTCGGTAACCCATACAAACAAAGATTCTCCTTTTCTGCAAACCCAGATTACACAATACAAAACCCCAACTTGAATCAAACAACCACACAAGAAACGAAGTTACTCAAGAGTAAACAATACATACCCAACTCCAATTAGACTAGCATACATAGACACACTAAATCTAATCAGATACAAAACCCCAACTTGAATCAAAAACCACACAAGAAACCAAGTTTAAAAATCAGAGTGTACAATACAAACCCAACTCGAATCAAAATACCATACAAATAGACACTAAATCTAATCAGATTGTGCAATACACAACAACCACACAAGAGCCTAAGTCAAAATCAGACTGTACAATACAATTACCACACAAAATCAGATTTGTACTTTTCGTGGTCTAAAACAGAGAAAACCCAAGAGACCACAGGAGCAATAGAGAAGAAAAAAATACTCAAAACTGGGAATAAAAGAGAGAAACCCTAACCAGGGTCACATTGCTGGTAAAACTCTTGAACATCTGCAAAAACAAAAACACGAATAAACCAGAAATTGAACTCAGATCGGAGAAGAAACCATCACTAGAAGCTTAAAACCCAACGAAAATTCTAGAAAAAAAAGGTCAGAGAAGATAGTGAAATTGATTTTACCGGTGGTGAGAGCTTTAACAATGGCAGCACGACGACCTTTGAAATCCTTGAAAACCTCTTCAACAGTTCGAGGATTGTAAACCGCAGCTCCTCCTTCCATGGTCTCGCTCGATCTAAGAGAAGATTCTCAGAGAGATGGTGGTGTTGGAAATAAAATAATGGAAGAAGACGAAGAAATAGCTGCGCCGTGGACCGTGACAAGACCCGATCTTGTTTTGTATTCACTAAAGTCTTTGTTTTTGGTCAAAGTATTTGGGAGTTTGGGTCCGGGTCGGATCATAATACAACCCAATATGTAGCAAAAGGCCCAAGAGCCCAAGCTCGTTTACTAATTTCGAAATTTATATATTACTAGTATAGTACCCGTCCGATGGACGGATTATCTTTATTTAAAATTAAATTAAAATAAAAATTAATTATAACTTATAAAAAAATAATTTCTAAATTTTTTTTGAAAAATAAGAGAAATTAATTTTAATTCGGAAAGAGGTTTCTTTGGTTTGAACTATCAAATAAACGTGTACATATATATATATATATATATCTCTTAAAATTCGTTATTAAACGTTAATTATAAAAATCTAGTAATGTCAAACTAACAATCACCAAAACATTTGGGAGCTATTTGAGAGCTATTCACCATTACTCATAATATTGCTAAAATATTTTCTAAAATCTTAATTTAGCAATTATCCTCTAAAACATGATTATACCATTTTGTAAAAATTGTTATTTCTTTACTTTCAATTTTTCAAAAAAATCATTCTCAGACTATGAAAATTAATTAATTATTATTTAATATGATGGTAAAGTTCTTTCAAATTAACATCAATCTAAAATATGATGTTAAATATAAATATAGTCATTTGTAAATAAATTCATATAAACAACGCAAATAAATATAAAGATTCTAAAATAAATTATAGCATTATTGAGGAAAACATTAAAAAAAATCTTTCAAATACGAATTATAAAAAACTACATATTTTCTTTAAAAATATTTTAAAATTACTATATTACGATTTATATTGAACTTTGTTATCTTTAATTTAAGCTAAAAAAAATATTTTCGAAAATATTTTATTCACCCTTATGTTTTAGACAATGAAATTGCTCAATGGCATAATACATTCATACATAAATTAAAAATTAAACAAATATAACATATTATAAAATAAAATCATGAATAAAATTATGTATTTAGTTAAACTCAAAATCTAATTTATTTGTAAACTGTAAATCCTAATTCTCCTTTGTGAACCCAAACTGAGAAATAACCTTGTTTAATTGTAAAACCTAAATCTCACTCTTCTTTAGTAAACCCAAACCGATAAATAATCTCGTTTAATTATAAAATCTAAACTATAATGCACATTTATTTATAATTGTAAAACCTACAACTTGCAAAACCAAAAATTAGGTTAATAGTTGAAAGAGAATTTTTGAGAAATACCCCTTTTGGTGTACCCCTTTTTTAAAATAGACCAATTTTCTATCCATTTTAAAAATATCTCTTTTCAAATATGAAAAATTGTAAGCTTTTATATAGTTTATAAGGTACATCTAGATCATCATTACTATTGGGAGACTCAA